AGAAGTCATCTGCTATGGTTACAGCTCTCTGTAATTTTACTGTAATAATCAACGTGCTATATAATTCGCACCTAAGTGAGACACACCTGATGTATGCCCCTATATACATACACTATATGACCAAAAGTCATGGACACCTGACCACCACACCCATATGTGCATATGTGCCCATTCCAGATATACGCCCTCTTTGCTGTTATAATAACTTCCACTCTTCTGGGAAGGCTTTCCACTAGATTTTGGAGCATTGCTGTGGGGATTTGCCCATTAAGCTACAAGAGCATTAGTGAGGCCAGGCACTGGTACAGCATACCATGACATCCTATACAATTGTGTGCTTCAAACTTTGTGGCAAGTTTCCAGGTCGCTTGCTGCTCTCTCTGCTTTGCTCTGTTCATGGCCACACACACACACACACACACACACACATATGCTCAGCTCACTGCTTAGGGAGAGAGAGAAATAGAGGGAGCTCACATAAATATACACGGGACAACAGGGCTTATGTTAGTCATTAACCCTCTAGCTCGTCCCCAGATACCTCCCTCTGAGTGCAGACCCACAAACGATGCCACCACCTGCTTCAGAGCACATTCAGGAAATACACACTTTTGACCTGATAACATGATTCCTTTCACTATGTCTTTTAATTCATTATAATACCGTATACCAAACACACAAAATTGTCTTGTTGGTTTGAAATTAAACATCTGTCTTGTTTACTGTATCTCCACAAATACATCTTGGCTCAGTGTACTGAGATTGTGTGTTACTTTGTGCCTTTGTGGCAATTTCAGTCACACATTTTGCCTTTAGCCCCATGGTACTTTATTATTTTTCCAAGGCCAGTGACTCAGGAGTGCAAAAGAAACAACTTTCTTTCCCCTTTTACCTCCTGTCACATGCACAAAGACCTGGATACAAGTGCATAGCAGTTATAAGGAGAAAAAAGCAGTCCACAATCCACAGCTGATGTCAAATAAACAAGCAGAAATTCAAGAAACTAGATAATTGAAAGATGATATACTGCTGGATAGTATAGAGAGGCAAAGACAAAAGGTCAGCAACATTATATAAACTAAAAACACAAAGGCAAAAGATTGGTAATGTGCAAAATGACACTGGCAAGACTTCGCAAGAAATTTCAAAATATCAAATCCTGCTAGCCAAGAGTAGGAATGGGCATTAATGTGACACCCCCAAGCCATCTGTGCTATAAAATTAGGATTAGTCATGTCAATTGTGGTGATTTGTTTTTATTTAAAAAGCTCCAGCATACAACAAGTCTCTTCTTTCCGAAGCCTCCGGCCCACTATCCATTAATTACAGCAGGTAAAGGTCATGCTGGTGCTGAGCAAAAAGGGAAAATAATGAACACATTTGCAGGTTGGTAGTAATTACTCAGGCATAGAAGAAAAAAAAAAAGCCCCGGTCTTGTGTTAAGTATAAGTGGATGTGAACTGGGAGTCTTTCACTGTTGCGTAGGAGGATTGATGGTACTACAACGCTTCAGACCACAGCAGCCCCAAATGAACATTTTCCCATTTTATACATTTCATTTCATAATGAGATTTTTTTCTGTTCTTTGTAAATATTCTTTCATGCATTGCTGAAAGATGTCTCTGAGAAGTATAATGTTATGCATAGATAATAATACTGCTTAGACCTAGTGTAGTTATGGCACTTGACAATGAAATGAGTTTTAGAGCGTCAGTGGGGAAATTGTGTTGTGTAGGCTGATCTGGATTTATTTCATAATGATTAGTTACTACAGTAAATCTGTTACATAACATATAGTATTATAGATCACATGAAGAAAGCGCAACTTTTCATTTTTAGTCTTTAATATAAAAATATATTTTTAAACAAATGACAGCTTTGGTTAAAAATGATAAAACTGGTGATATTTTGGTTTAAAATTATAAGCTGTACTTATAAGCTTAGTATATAATTCTAAAGCAAATGCTTATTAAATTAAATATAAATTAAATATTAATTAAATATCTATGTGAATTGCTGTAAATCATAAAATATATTTAATTTAGGAATATAAAATTTAGGAACATAAAAGTAAAATTATATTT